AAAAGGAATGGATGTTTGTTTGTTTTATTTAGTAGACGAGTGGTGTTACGGCGCTCGTAACTGTATAAGGTCATAAGAGCGCCAAGGTGTGGATGTCGACAGAGAAGTCCTTACAGGGAATCAGACTTACTCTGGTCACCTCTCTAGCTTCAACAGCACAAAGTCTGCCTCGACTATCAAGGCACCCCGGAAATAGCGGGTCACAAGAGTATGACAAACATACAAAAGAAGTAGAGGTAAAATGAGGATAGTAAGGATTAGAAAAGAAAAAGCAGCAGTTCCCTGTTGCAGTTCAAGCACAGTTATGAGCATGACATTGACGAATCAGCCCATTTACAATTACAATTCTACTGTGCTTAAGTGAATGTGTTGTAAATGGAAAGTTTTGCGTTCAGTAACTTCGTGCTCTGGTCAACGTTTTTTCCCCCCCCCCCTTCTATTATTAGCATTATTGTCAAATCTGACACAAAGATCGGGTTTTATTAGTTTTAGTAAGAGTTTTACGGCACTCGCCACACAATAAGGTCATATAAGAGCCGAAGATTAGAAGTGTTACAAGAGAGTAACAAACACAAAAAAGAAGGAGGATAGATAAAGACGATAGATGTGTGATAGGAAAGCAGAAGCAAACCACACCAGAGCACCCGCCAGCCACCCATACAAAGATCGTGTATACATAGTAGAGAATCTTTGAGAGACACAACAAGGAGGGCTATTTCCAAGTGTAGTGTGCACAGAAGCTGTCATTATTTGTGAGGCAGAGTGGTGAAATCAGGCAAAATAATGAAACTGAAGAAACTGGCTTTTTCCGCAGATTTGGGAATTTTTATATTTTGACTCAACACCTTCCATGTCCATTAAAGAACACATTTCTGCGTGGATATCCCTGAAAATGTTGATTAAACTTATAAAACGTGTAAATTTTCTGTATAGACAAGTATATTTATTCTACTTTGATAACGTATACTTGACAAATACTGATGTGACAGAACAAAGAAAAAACTTGTTGACTAGATAGACAAATAGATTAGTTTAATGAAAAAATAATCATAATACATACATCATACATGATATATCAGCAAATACAGACGTGCGTGTGCAGAGACTTTCACCCTCCTTACAACAAACATCCTTTTGTAGCACACTGTTGTTTTTAGTTTTAGTAAGAGTTTTACGGTATTTGCAACACAATAAGGTCATAAAAGTGCCAACGATTAGAGGTGTTACAAGAGAGTAACGAACACCGAAAAGGAGGGGAGATAAGGACAATAGATGTTTGATAGGAAAGAAGAGGCAAACCACACCAGAGCACCTGCTGTTTATTTTGAGAATCGCACAACAAGGCGTCTAACACCCAGAGCACACTGCCGATTGGATCCATCGGATTGAGTTGCGGCCAGCCAGATTTTCCTTCATGTATGGAGGGGG